GTGGTTATATTAATGCGAATCAAGTCACCATACAACATTCATATTTGCCATCCTCTTGCTCTTGAATCGAAGAAATTATATTCCGAACTTACTTATCTAGTCGTTTGACTAGTTGGCACGCTGAAATTGGAATTTCACTATGTCATCTATTGTTTATTTTCACCCACAAAGTGTGTTACAGTTCAAATTCAAATTGTTGAATCCATTTCGTTGGTAAAGTATAGGCCTGGGCATTCGGTTAACCGTTCGGTTTCGGTTCGATTGTGTTCGATTTCGGTTAGTTCGGATATGGTAATATAATAATCATTCGGATATTTTAGGAATTTCGGTTCGGTTCGGTTTGGTTACCTTTCGGTTCGGTTCGGTTTGGATATTTAAATAGATAACCGTAACTAACAAAATTTTTATCATGTTCGGTTTGGTTCGGGTTTTTACCCAAAATAACCGAAATTGACCGAATATAACCGAAATTAACCGAAAAAAATACAAAAAAAAAATAAAAAAAAAAGAAAAATATTAGAAAGAAAATAAAAATTGGATTCAATTTTGTAAAAGAATATTTAACTTTGACAAATATAACAAACAACATTTGGATATTTTGATTATTTTAAGTATTTGATTGTTTTGATTCTAAAAATAATTAATATTTTGGGTTTATAATTATAATTTGTGAATTATTTTTGGGTATTTTATAGGTTTTTTGGATATTTTGGTTAACCATTTGGTTATCGGTTCGGTTCGGTTCGATTTCGGTTAGTTTGGATAAGGGATTTTACTAACCATTCGGTTATTTTGAAAACTTCGGTTCGGATATGGTTCGGTTTTTTTCGGTTCGGTTCGGTCGGTTATTTGGTTAGCGGTTTTTTTGCATAGGCCTAGTAAAATATATGTATATATGCACATTGTGACATATGTGGAAGCCTAAGACAGCATGAGTGTTAAAACGAATTTTGGATTTGCTATTTTTGGCGAAATTCCAAAGCCCAAAAAGACAACTAAATAGTTGCTTAATGACGATATGTTTGATAGATACTTAATGTTGTATTTTTATCAAATTGATTTTTTTTTTTTTTTGACGTCAATTGCTTATCAATTAGTTACGTTTATTATTTCATGAGAAATTGCACTATATAACCTAAAAAAAAACAAAATTAAATATCTAACCTCTAACCCCCCCTATTCACTCTCTTTCTCTTCCTATCTTTTTCTACTTTCTTTCTAAAAAACTAAATTTTCTTTTTTTTTTGGTTATTCACCTAAATCACCCTTATTTCATTCTATTTTTATTTTTGTTCTCTTTGGGTGACAGTCTTTCTTTTGTCTCTTCACTTGGATGGTAGTCTACGGCTATTGTTCGTTGAAAATGATACAAATTTATGCTTTTTTTTTGTATGTGTACGTATATCCTTATATTCTATGAGAGAAAGTATGGTAAACTCATCAATAAATTTTAAGAAATTATGGAAATAAAGATTTTGGATAGAAAGAGTTTGGTTACTGCATAATGGGTAATAACGTATCCAACTAAAAGTTCAAACTAATAGGAAAACATTTTTTTTTTTTAAGTAATAGGAAAACATTTTGAGTGATATACATGTTTCCAGAAATAAAACTACTGATCAGGAATGGTAATCCATATAACTATAAAATTAAATTAAATTAACTTTGAAGTAGAAGCCATGAATATGGTCAACCGCAAATTTACATAGACAACATTACAAAAACTGTTTTTTAAGAAAAATTGTGGTTAGACTAGAGCATAAAATAGAAAATATGTGAATGGTGATCAATATGTCCATGCAGTATCTTTGTTGTTCCAATAGCATTATCAGATGATTATAATTTATATCCTTGGATTTTTTTTAATTATATTGTCTTTTTGGTTACAGTCTCCTCACATTTAATTAAATTATATATATATATATATACATATATATATATATAACTAACATTTAATGATATATTAATGAATATTTACATGGTTTTTTTTCCTTCTTTCTCATACTCTTTTTGTATATATTATTTATATGTTCTAGTGTAAGGAAGGAAGAAGACTTTCAAAATCATCGTCATGGAGTTGCTTCTTAGGATTAGTTGAAATCTTCGGATGAGTAATAGATAAACATGCATCATGAAAAATATTATCAAAATTACTTAGGATACTTAGTAATATCCCTAGACCTTTTTGTATATATACAGATTTTTTTTTTTTTTTGCTAAAGTATATAAATTAGTCTTGTTACGTCATGCAATTTATATATAGATTCTAATATCTACGTGGAAACAAGCATGAGTATCCCCTATAGATAATTTCACAACGGCCCTGAAACAAGAAAGACTGAGAATGTGAAAAAGACATATGGAAGAACTCAATAAAAAGAAAGGTAAATTCAAAAAACAACAAGAAGAACGAACAACAATGTCTCTTTTACATCGAGAATATAAACTGTAATAAATATATACACAAAGACACTCATATATATATATATATATTTGATAAAGACAAGCATATGTTTTTTAAGTGTTTCGAAACCAATTTTTTATCATCTCAAAGAAAAAGAGGAACAAAAGGGACAAGAAATTGTAGTTACTTGTTTTTTTTTAAGTGTCTTGGTTTATATACATAATTTTTAGATTATTTTTTGTGAAACATAATTTTTAGATATATAGTTATAAAATGGGAGAGAAAGAAAAAAAAAACGAAATTGGAAGAGCATCGGATTTGCAGTTCTCTCTCTGCTGGATTCTTTCCCTTGGATCCTTCCTCACTTCACCTCGATTCCCATTCACAAGTCACAACTCTTCTCTCTGTCTATAGGCTATAAATATAGATGTTCACATGCATATTTTATATCCATATTTTTGTCTACAAATATATCCGTTAATTATACTCCCAATAAATTTATTAAAAATATTTGAAGCTAGCTAGTGTAAAATGGCGTGAAGGCTTTGCTGGATATACACTTTTTTGTACATTAACCTATAATATCTAAAAAAGACTAAAACCATGTTTTGATGTTGTTAGCTAGACATTATTGTTATACGTTGACGTTGTAAAATATTAACTTGAGAGTGAACACGTAGTTGAATGCATTATTCATGTAAAATAACAACAATAACTTTATGAAAACGTTTTGGGAAAAGGTCCAAACAAGACTTTCGATTGAATGGCAAAAGTTTTTTTTTTCTTGTAATAATGTTTTAGTTTTTGGGTTTTAGTTTTTGGTTTTTAGTTTTTTTTTATTATTTTATTTTTGCTGTAAAATATATTTTTTTTTAGTTTGAAGGAATGCTAATTTTTTAGTGTTAGTTTTTAGTTAAAATTAACTTAACTTATAAGATAAAATTTTGATTATTATAATCATAAACAATTTTAGATATTTTGAATCGATCAATCACAGCGTGACGCTTGTACTTCGAAATAGGGTAAAAGCTTCCATAAGAGAATAGTTTTCATTAGCAAATGTAAAGATTTGCCGCAAGTAAAATATACAAAAAACGCTAACTGTACATAATTAAATATGTGATAGTATTATCATCATGAGCATTTTATGCACTTATACGAAGTATGTAAGTTTAACCTTTCGTCGAACCCAATTTACACGCATGTCGTTATAACAGGTATTGGATTAGCCTAGTGCGGTTGATGCGTCGAATGATCTAATCCCACTTATTGAGATTTACCTTAATGAGATCTAGTGTAGGATCTAATGAATCAGTATCTAGATTTATACATAATGTTCTCATATCACTATGAGAATTGTTTGATCTTAAAAACGAATAGACTTTCGAATAGACATTGGGTTTGAGGAAATGATTTTCTCGAATATTTGAAGCGTAGACCAAGGAACCGTCTCTCATCAATATGTAGTGAGAAAACATACACAATAAATTTTTTTATTCATTTATTTGTTGTGCTTCTCTTCAAAAAAAAATCCTTTTATTTTGATTTAGTTATCTCTCAATGTTCTTGTAAACTACTTATAAATGAGATTAATTAGTCTTAAGATTATTGAAATTTAGGTTTGATACGACTCCATAAATTTTAAGATTGTATCTTAAACTTGTGGTAACGATCTTACATTGTCTACGAACTATTCATTAACAATTTTAAACTCTATCAACAAGTTCATGAAGATATTTGTCACTCTAAAACGGGTTTATTTTTAAAGGCTGTGTGATGTGAATATTCCTATTTAATTGTGTCACCTTGTATAGGTTATCTCCTCTATACTGTGTTAATTATATATGAATATGGACTGACAACAAAAAACAAGCAGTAGAAAAACAAACAATAACAAAAAAGTCAACGAGAGAGGTTTGACTCACACTACCGTTCAGAAAGCAAAGCGTGGAGGAAACAAAGAAAATACTAGTCGTTCCAAATCACTGTTAACTTTTTACGTTACCCAATCAATATCCACTAATATCTATAGAATCACAAGTAGGTTTCATTTACGTACGTATTCACATTTAGAAATATGACACTCATAATATTATAGTTAAATTTACATAGTATACCACAAGATTAATTACAAATTTATCTTGATTAGGTTTGAAGTTTCAGGTGTTTTTCCTCTTGCTCACTTTCAAAAGACAATACACTGATCACTAATATATTATTCCGTTTTATAATAGAGTTGCTATTTAAAACAAACAAAAAAAACAAAAAAAAAATCTTATTTTGGAAAAAGATAAATAAACGGGAGCAATTTTTTGTTTTTGTGGAATTGCAAACTAGCTTGTTAAACTATTTATTCGAAGGTATCAATCCGATTTATGTAGATTACTATTAGTATCCAATTCCTTTTCAATCAATAATTGGATATAAATAGTTTTGTACTCGTACGTTAGGTGATTCCATTGGTCATACTGGGATAAAAAAAAGACATGTAAGATTAGTAAAGCAAAGAAACAAATAGTTATATGTTCTACCAGTAGCTTTTAAAACAAAAAGACAACAAGTAATGATATTATATATACTAAGGTTTTAAAAAGAAACAAGAACAACCCAACCAACATTAAAATTTTATTCTTTTATAGAGAGTGAATATAAACATCACTCCTCTTTCTGCTTCTCACTTACACACAATATATACACATATAAATATATTTATATGTGCCCGTGTGATATCAACAGCTGTATCAATCTTCTCTCTTTGAAAACACACAAGTCTCTTTGCTCTCTCCTCTCTCTATTTGTTTTGTTTAACCATGTCGGGAAAAAGAATAAGCATGGTCGAGAAAAGTAACAACAAGAGACAAAGAGTGAACCAAGTTCCAAAGTTCAGTATCAACGACCACCACGACGTTCTTGTAGAAATCCTCCGGCGACTAGACGGTCCATCTCTTTGCTCAGCCGCATGTGTGTGCCGTCTTTGGTCGGCCGTGGCTCGTAACGACTCTATATGGGAAGAGCTCTGTTTCCGACAAGTTTCACCACGACCTTCTTTGTCTCTTCGTTCCGTTGTGTCGGCTCTTGGTGGCTACCGATGTCTCTACTTCCTCTGTATCCGTCCCGTCCTCGCACGACTTCCTAAGCTTCGTTGGACACGAGACCAGCTTCAGCTCTCTTTGTCACTTTACTGTGTTCATTACTACGAGCGCCTCTACGTCGGCGCGTGGCTTGGAGACGCGCCACCTTCGTCGCTTATGTTTCTTCGGAAGCCCGTTAATGTTGTCTGAACCGGGACCGGAACGGCCCTTTTTTTGTTTCTCGACGATCAATAAATTATTAGTTCCCAAGATTTGTATTCTTTTATCAAATTATTTTTTTATTCCGACTTTTACGGTTACGAAATTTCGATTTCTTCATTTCATTACAAGATTTTATTAATAAACGTGATCTTTTTTTTCACTCCTGTTTCTTTTTCTTCCCTAGTAGATACTGCCAACGCGTAGCTGTTTTGTCTCTTCTACTTTTTTTCTTTATATCTAATCTTCGCATTCATTAATTTCATTGAGTATGCCATATGAGTTTTTTTTTTTGGTTTAGTGTGAAAATCTATATATATAATGGGAGAGTCTTCTCTCCATATAAGCTATCCACATCATCATCCACCTAAGCATGCATCTAATTAAAAATTAAAAGTCAAAATTTATTTAAAATGTTCATTCAATACATACTTATTTTTACTTATTGTTATTTATGATTAAAAATATTTAAGTTATAATACAAATGAATTAATATTATAAGTAAAAAAAAAAAATATATAAATTTATACATAATAATATAATTTGAATCTATATATATAATGGGAGAGTCTTCTCTCCATATAAGCTATCCACATCATCATCCACCTAAGCATGCATCTAATTAAAAATTAAAAGTCAAAATTTATTTAAAATGTTCATTCAATACATACTTATTTTTACTTATTGTTATTTATGATTAAAAATATTTAAGTTATAATACAAATGAATTAATATTATAAGTAAAAAAAAAAGAAATATAAATTTATACATAATAATATAATTTGAATTTTAGCGAGAAAATGTTTAAGATAAATCATATTTAAAAACTTATAAACATTTCAGTTTTAAAATTGATATATTAAAAATCAATATGATGGATATTTCTAAAATTGTATGAAAGTTGAAAGATCATACATTTATTAGCTTTAAAAAAATATATAGTAATGGATCATGACATATTTAAAAATCAATATGTTGGGTATTTCTAAAAATTGTATGAAAGTTGAAAAGACATACATTTTTTAGATATATAGTGAATTAGTGATTAATCTTATGACATATTAGTGATGAATCTTATGACATATTACTAATATATAGTGAATTAGAGATATATGATATATCTTATGACATATTAGTATTACTAATTAAAATAATAGTTGATTAGTTTATAAATTATAGTAAACAAAATGTTAAAATATAGCTTGATAGTATCGTGTATAATAATTGAAAACAAAACTAAAATAAAATTATGTATACTTTTAATTTTTAGCTTATCAAAAATACAATATAAAGTTTTATAAATGCAATTGATAGTAACACAAACACTATGCACTTATTAAAACTATAAAATATTATTTTAAAAATATCAAATATAGGTAGAAAGAGCACAATTACAACATTAAATTTAATAAGATAGAAACAAAAAATAAAAATAAAAATAAGAGAATATAAAAATATCGGAATTGAGTGACAAAATTATTCTCAGAAAGCTAAATTTCTAAAGAGAAAGACAATATATTAAAAATAAGATATACTTATATATATATATATATATATATATATCTTTTCTTTTTTGTTTGTAAATACAATAGATATAAATTGATGACAAAAAAAAAATATAAATTTGGAAAAGATAAACCAGATTTAAAATAGAGATCACACTTGAGTTTCTAGAATTATAAAAGAAAATGTTATGCATAAGAATTCATGCACTTAAAGAGAAAATATATAATGAACAATCATAGGATACTAAGTCAATACAAAAAAAAAAACGTTTAATATATGTAGTATATTATAAGTAGACGTGTAAATATATATAATTATCACTTATAACATTTATATTATATATATAACCGTTTTTACCAATAGAATTACATATAGTTTTCAAACAGTATTGTAATAAAAAAATATGTAAAATAATGTAATTTACAAAACTATAACAAAATTGAGTATATATTATTAAACCCACGCATCGCGTGGGTCCATTTCTAGTATAATGAAGAGGAAAGTTTATCACTCATTTTTCTTTTTTGGGGAGAAGACACTTTTTAAAATGTAATATAAAATGATGTTCTAATATGAAAAAAATGATATATGACGGGCCGGTTTTTTTTAATCCTCTAATAATGGCATTGGCCAAAAGTGGATTTTATGGTCATAGATTTTCCAAGATTCGAAAATTATTTTAAATTCTAATGGCATTGTTACTAATTCGCCAATTTTTACCTAAAAACTATTTTCACGAATTAGCAACAATAAAAAGTGGATTTTATATATGGTGAAATGTAAATTTTCATTAACCAAACAAATGTTACTTATACAAAAAAAATGCAAGAAAACCGTATGAAGATGTAGCTGCAGTCTGATGAAGTTATTGAATGAGTTAAGAAGTAATACAAGTTTTTGTCTGATGGAGTTCCTAAATGATTCAAGAAGTAAGTCAAGATGCGACTGTTTTTGTGTGTGTGTCGGTTTCTAGAAGGTTTGAGAAGATATGTTTGGAGCGTGTTTAGAGGATGAATCACAAAGGAAAAAGTACTTAAAGAGATTTGGAAGACTTGATGAAAGTGGAGTTTAATGAAGAAAAGGAAAAGTGTAAAAGGAAATTTACTTTTTCTTATGGAAATTGGAAATCTTCTCCTATGGTGATTAGGAAATCGTTTTGGCTATATATGGAGGAGCTGAGGACGTCTTTGAGAAGCAAGAGAGCTGAGGCATAAAGAAGAAATCTTTGAGAGCTTTCGGTGAGATTGTGTGCAACTTAGTTTTGCAGGTTTGTGCTTGTGTGATCAAGTGGTTTGTTTTGAAGTCTAGGCTCAAGGGGAGTTTAGCTCAGGGTTAGGTTATCCTGATTAAATCTAGACTCAAGGGGAGTTTAGTTAAGGGTAGAGATTATGCTTAAGGTTTCACGTTATAGAAGGGAGCGGTAAATCAAGAGAGTTGGGCTTGTTTTACGCGTTTGCGAATTGTTTGTAATTTGCTTTCTTGTTCTAGTGGAATCGAAATCTGGACGTGGTCCCGGGGAGTAGGAAAAACCGAACCTCGTTAACAAATTTCTTGTCTCGTTTACTTTCTACAATTTATCGTACATCATCCGCACTTACAATTGGTATCAGAGCGGGTTCTCGATAGAGATTTAGTCTTGTTTCAGGTAGATCAGGGTGAGGTTCAGGAGATTGTTCAGAAGATTGTTCAGGAGATCGTTCAGAAAGTAAGACAGAGCTGAGAATCGTGTGAGATGGAGTCATACAAGGAAGGTACGTCTATGACAAGACCACCACTTCTTGATTCAGCAAATTATGGATATTGGAAGGTTCGTATGCAAGCTTTTATTAGTAATCTTGATGAAGATTGTTGGAATTCAATTGAACTTGGTTGGGAGGCTCCTAAAGTTACGGATGATGATGGAGTTGTAAGTCTCAAGCCAAGAGATAAGTGGACTGCTGCAGAGAAAAAGCTATCAAGTTGCAATTCTAAGGCTAAGACTGCGATTTACAATGCTATTGATTCAAGCCGCTTTAAGTTGATTTCTCAATGTGCATCAGCTCAAAAAGCATGGAAGACATTGGAGAATATGTTTGAAGGTACTACAAGCGTTAAGAGAACGAAATTGGATATGTTAGCTTCGCAATTTGAGAATCTAAGGATGGAAGAAGAGGAAACTGTGGCTGATTTTAGTGCAAAGTTATGTGACATATCTAATGAATCGTTTGCTCTTGGAAAGGTCTACAAGGACAAAAAGCTAGTGAAGAAGTTGAAGAGATCATTGCCTGCAAAATTTGAGTCAAAGATTTCTGCAGTTGAAGAAGCTCATAATCTAGATGAGATGGCTTTTGATGAGTTTGTTGGGATTCTTCAAGCTTTTGAGTTAAACAAAGCATATGAAGCTAAAGGAAAGATGAAGAAGGTATATGAAGTGAAGAAGGAAGTTGATATTGGAGTTGCTCTTAAAGGATCATCAGCTGAAGATTCAATGGCTATGTTGTCAAGACAGTTTACTAAATATCTGAAGCGAAAAGGAAAAGAGAAGAAGGATAGAATTGATTAAGAATTGAGAAGTTCATCAAAGAATGTGCAATGTTTTGAATGCAAAGGATATGGACATGTTCGTTCGGAATGCGCCAATCTACAAAAGCATAAGAAGAAGGCCATGAATATTGTGACTAGTGATTCTGAAACTGATTCAGATGAGGAAGAAGAACTGAAGAATTTTGTGGCGTTTACTAATTTTCTGCCAAAAACTACAACAGAGTCTGCATCAGCGTCTGTGTCAGGGTCTGCATCAGCATCTGCAACAGGAGCTGTAATTGAAAGTGACAATGATCAAAGTGATGACGATGCTGCAAGTATCAGTGATGAAGAGTTTCATGAGAATTACAGAGCCTTATATGAGCATTGGCTTAAAATGGTTGAGGAGAATTCAGTGTTAACTAAGGAGAAACTCAAGTTAGAGGCTAAAGTCGTTGAAGCACAGAAATATGCCGCAGAAAAAGAAGAAGAAGCATCACAAGCTAAAGTACAACTTGAAGAAACTCAAAAGAATGTGAGGATGCTTAATAATGGCACAAAGAAGTTGGATCATATTCTGAATATTGGCAAGACTGATAAGTGTGGTCTTGGATTCGAAGGAAAACTTTTAAAATCAGATCCGGTGTTTGTTTCTAGTGGAAAAATCACGTCTGGATCAGGAAGTGTGTCAGAAACTGCAACTGGTACAGAGACTGCATCAGCTTTAAGGAAAAATCAAGAATTGAAGAATGCACCTCAACGAATTTTTCGACCTGTTTGTCATCATTGTGGTGTTGTTGGGCATATTAGGCCAAGGTGTTTCAGATTGTTGAGGGAGAGAAATCGAATGGAGAATGCTTTTGATGTGAGATTTCATGGTCTTACATGTTATCATTGTGGAGTTCAAGGGCATATTAAGAGGAATTGTTTCAGATTCATTCAAGAATCTAGCCATGTAGGCTTAAGGCACAGGAAGATTTGGGTTAGGAAAGATGATTTCTATGGAGGTGGTGAACTAGGCTATCAACTTCGTATTGCAAAGCGGGGAGAATTTTCCAAGTAGTTTTGACCATGTTGTGACTCATTCAGGGGGAGAATGATGATGTGTTTCGTGTTGTTGTTTTGGAGTTAGAACTGATGAGTTCACAAACATAG